ACACCCCGCCATCTTTTTCCAAAGGACTGCAATTGTTACAGTTCTGTCTTCGTCATCGAAAGGGAGGTCCCGGAAAGTCAACAAGTGCAGTAGTTCTGTCTTTGTCATCGAAGGGGAGGTCCCGGATCCCCATCCCCAACTCCATCCTAGCAAAGGGTTCGAAGGACCAGACTAGCCTTACCTTGCGACGTTAGCGAAATGTCAGCAATAGACCGGTTCTGAAATAGAGACTATACTTACGGTCTGCTTTAGCTAAACCTCAGCAATAGATTTTTTTTTTTGTTTTCAGACCAGACTATTCTTTTTTTTTTTTTTTTTTTCGCTTTAGAATATCGGTGCTGTAAGTAGGAAGCCCCAGACCGTCAGTCTGCTGCGGGGTAATGGGCGGTTGCTGCACGGCACACGAAACGAAGAACGAAACGAATGTACCTTCCCACAGAAAATGGCCAGGTTCATCGGTTTGCTATAAATAGTAACGAGTGTATTTTGCCACCTTTGGTGGGCAGATGCACTCGTTTCCTTTTCGTTTCGTGTGCCGTGCGGCGAGACCCAATATCACATAGTCAACAGAAGGAAAACAAAAAGAAAGCAGGCTGCCACAGATGTTTTTTGCCAAAAAAAAAAAAAAGAAAAAGAAAAAGGAAAAGGAAAAAAAAAAACGAAACGAAAAAAAAAAAGAAAAAAGAAGAAACCTGGAACACGCATAAATCGAGAAATGGTCCAAACTTTAAAAAAAAAAAAAAAAAAAAACCTAAGGCAGAATTGTTTCAAATGCCAAAACAGTAGGCGTGGCCATTTTTTTAGTTGACTTTTGAGCTGACTTTTCTTCAGGACCTTCAGTCCGTGCCAAAACATCCATGTCCAAGGTTGGCCAACGAATATCAAATTTGGCGCGCGCACTGCATGGTAACCCCAGACCCGGACACCGGACACTTCCGGACTGTCTTCCGGACCAGTGTCTGGACCGGTCCGGACATCACCGGACACTGGACATCACCGGACACCGGACAGTCCGGACCCTGTCTCTTATACACATCTAGATGTGTATAAGAGCGCGCACTGCATGGTAACCCCAGACCCGGACACCGGACACTTCCGGACTGTCTTCCGGACCAGTGTCTGGACCGGTCCGGACTGTCCGGTGATCCGGACATCAC